TAAAATTCATTGTAATTGCATTAAGACCCGAGATGGCGGTGTAATTCTCAACAAAGTGGAACCACATTCAAATTCTATGGATGATGAAGTTCATGGGGGTTGAGTGCAAATAAATAGGAATATATATATATATATATATATATTGTTGGGTATAGAATTGGAGATTTTAGAATGACAGGCTAAAATCCCCAATTTGGTCTTAGAGTTTAAGAACTAAAGCGAGCGTTAGCCTTCAGGGGAAGGGAAGTGGGAGCTCTGGAGTGAGAGTTAGTTTCCTCCTAGCCTAACCACAAATTTAGGGACTAAATCTGAGATTAGCCAATGATTTTCTATAACACTGAATCAGGATAGAGAATTAAAATTATTCTTATTTGGCACATACAATATTTAATGTATCTCATTCCTTTATACTATCTAATTTGCTACATAAAAAGAGTAGTTTTTAACATCTTAAAATTCTCTGAACCAACTCATCCAGAAAGGGTTATCCTTAGAATTAATGTTTACATTTAGGAATAGTTATTATCCTTACATTTAACATTCACATTTAGGAGTAGTTGCTAGATAAAATATCATTTTAATCCACATTCGAAACTAAGAACTAATAGTAGTATACTGGAATTTGACTAAGGATATATTTCCTCGCTTCCTCGTGGGATCGATATTCAGGGCTTAATCAGAAAGTCCTATATTGCTTGAAGTGATACATGCACTTGCGTAGAACCCATAGTGTGTGAACAATTTTCTATATTTTATAAAATTTCAATTTTGCATATTAGCTGCTAAATTACTGCATAATTATGGGTCGGGTTAAGTTTTTGGCACCGTCTCAGGGGAATTGAATTGACATAAAACACGCACAAAAACAACACAAGCTAGAGGCGCATTAATGTCTCTTAGAATTAACACATTGTATGACCTGAATATGGTGAAAAAGTGTGCAAGGGTTGCTACATCTGCTTGCAGTTGTAGTGTCAAATAACTAAGGGTTTCCACATTACAGATATATGTAAATAAAAAGGTTAGTTCATGAAACTAATAGTATGAAGGAATCTTGGAATAAAGGTACTCTCACAATTAAATTATTGGAATTAGTTGATATTATGGTTCATGAGAAGATAAATGTCTTATGTATTCAATAAATTAAATGGGTTGTAGAAAAGACTAAGGCAATTGATAGCTTACGTTTCGAGCTTTGGTATTTAGGTATGAGACATTAGAAATGGTGTTGGTGTAATTATGGATAAGATTTTGAAATATAATGTTGTAAAAATTAATAAAATTGGAGATAGAATTATAACCCTAAAGATTTTTGTTGACACTAAGATTTTTAATGTTATAAGTGTGTATGCTCCTCTTGTTTATTTAAATATAAGTTCAAAAACTAAATTCTAGAATGACCTAGAAGAATTAATATAAATGATAACTCTTGCAGAAAGAATCTTTAATGGAGGGTTTTAAATGGACATGTTGGTAGAGTGACGGAAGATTTTAGAAATATTCAAGGTGGCTAAGATTTTGATATGATTAATGAAGAAGGTGGAATCATTTTAGATTTTTCTTTTGAGTATGATTTTGTTATTTCAAATAACTTATTTAAGAAAAGAGAAGAACATATTATTACTTATAAGAATGAATATAATAAAAACGAATTGATTGTTTTTTATGAGAAAAAGAGATCTTCAAAGTGTAAAGATTGTAAGGTCTTTCTAATGAAAATTAAAGTTCTCAATATCGATTGTTAGTTCTAGGTTTTAAGATAAAGAGTTGAAAGATAAGGAAAAGAATAAAATATTATCATAGAATTAGATGGGAACACCTAAAAGATACAAATAAAATTATTTTTATGATTCAACTTCAAGTCTATGTAGGATAACATAACAAACACTATGCACTAATAAACAAGTAACAAAAGATGTACTTAATGAATAAAAAAAAGAGTTTATAAAAAAAAAAAATTAGTGTTGGAATAATAATGCGCAAGAAAAGATAAAATATAAGTTTTTTTATAAAATTAATTTAGTTGTAAAAGCTTAGAGAATTGAGAAAAATATAAGGTGGCCCATAGGGAATCTAAAGGAACAATTTATGATGCTAAAAATTATACTTTTAGCGATCTTTATAACATATCAGATACTAAAGAGGGTGAAAAATATATACATAAAATAGCCAAAAAAAAGAAAAAAAGAAAAAAAGAAAAGTAAAGATTTAATTCAAGTAAAGTGTATTAAAGATGAAAATAAAAAAGTATTTTTCTTAGAGAAAGATATTCAACATAGGTGGATGAACTATTTTGATAAACCTTTAAATAAAGTTTTTGAAAATATGATCAAAATTTGTCATCTTTATAATAATAATAATAATATATTTTATTTTTATCATTGCATTAGTAAAAAAGAAATTGATGAGGCTTTAACGAAAACTAAAGGTGGAAAATCAGTCGGACCTAATGATATACTAATTGACTTGTTGAAATATTTAGGAGATTTGGGAGTTTCTGGCTTACTAAACTCTTTAATATTGTTTAAAAAACTAAAAAGATAATCGAAGAGTGGAGGAAGAGTATTTTGGTACCCATTTTAAAGAAGAAAAATTATGCATAACAGTGTGCAAATTATAAAGGAATTAAGTTGATATGTCGAAAAATTATGCATAAGAGTGTGCAAATTATAAAGGAATTAAGTTGATATGTCATAGTTTAAAATTATGGGAGATGGTAAATTAACACAGGTTAATAATTAATACAAAGCTTTCTCATAATCACTTTAGATTTATGTCAGGAATGTGTACTATGGAAGTTATACAATTATTTAGAGGTTTGATGGAGAAGTACAGAGACATTGAGGAGGTTCTACATATGATTTTTATTGTTTTAGAAATAGCTTTTGCAAGGTTCCTAGAGAAGTCATTTAAGAAGTTCTAGAGAAGGAAGGTGTTGATATGACTTATATTCAAGTCATTAAAGATATGTATACTAGAGTTGTTACTTGTGTTTGAACAGAAGGAAGATTGACCAAGTATTTTCCTATTTTGGTTGGATAACATTAGGGATCAGCTTTAAGTCCATATCATTTTACTTTAACTATCGATGCTCTTACTGGACATTTACAATAGGGGGGTTATGCTTTTCACTGATGATATCTTACTTGTGGATAAGACCAAAGAAAGAGGTCAAGAAAAAACTTGAATTATTGAGGTCTACATTAGAGTCTAAAGACTTTCGTTTGATTAGATCTAAAACTGAATACATGGGATGTAACTTTAGAAGTAGTACCTCTAGTGGCAAAGTTGTAACTTTGAGTGATCATATCATTAAAAGGTGTAATCCTTTTAAATATCTAGGGTCTATAGTTCAAAGTGATGGTGATATAGATGGGGATGTTATTAGTAAATTTCAAGTTGGTTGGTTGAAGTGAAGGGATGCATCGAGTCTATTGTATGATAGAATAGCACCGCTATGATTGAAAGGAAAATTTTATAAGATGATGGTGAGACCTGCAATGCTCTATAGCATAACATTTTGGCTTTAAATGAGAAGCATTAACAAAAGTTAAGTGTTGATGAGATGAGAATGCTTAGGTAGATTAGTGGCTTGACAAAATCTTAAATGAGTATATTCGTGATGGGTTTAGTGTAGCTCCAGTGGCAAACAAGATTAGAGAGAATCGTCTTAGACAGTTTGGTCACATTAAACGTTGACCATTTAACAATCCTATTATGAGAGCAAATGTTTTAGATTCGACTTATGTTAAGAAAGGCAGTGGTAGACATAAAAAGTCTTGGGAAAATTGTATACGAAAATGATCTTAATCTATTAGGATTAAATGAAAATATGTCACTCAATAAGAAGCAATGTAGAAAAAAGGTTTCATGTAGCCGACCCCACTAAGTGGGATAAAGGCTTTTTGTAATTTTTTTTGTTGTACAGCTTCTATGATTTCTCTCAAAGTTGTGTTTTTTGTTGGCTTCCTTATTAGTTTATTTTTGACTTAATTTTCCTCTACCATTTATATATGCATGTTATGACCTATATGAAAGATTTTAGTGCCTATTCTTATTCTATCACCGTTTCACATTTTATTTACTTTCCTGCTAGAAGGATTGAGTTGGTTAAACTTCATATTTCAAACATATTAATTTGTTGTCGTGTTTCTATTATGGTGTACAAATGATGAAAAATGAGGCCTGCTTTTCTTGAGATTTAGCGAGTCAAGGGGCATATCCATGCATAAGAACTTCTCTTTTTTCTTATTTTTTCCATGGGCTCTTAGGTTGAGAACATTTCATGATTTTCTCTCTTCCTCATTATAGTGCTTATATGCTTAGCAGATTATATGAAGCAAAGGATTTGTATAAACTTTTACTACATCAAAGGGTTTAGGGCACGAAAGATTATTGCGTGCGGACACCGCATGCATCTCTGCATGCGGTGTTCGATCCTGGCCGTAGATCACGGTGATCTACGGTCAGGATTATTTTATTAGTACTAGTGTTTTTATAATACTAAGGTTGCAGTCCCCTTTAGTTTTCTTAGATAGTGAAATTTTTTTAAAATTCATGACATATTAGCTCAACTATGTCATCAAATACATCTTGGCCCTCCACGGAGGATAATGTTTTTTTGGGGAATTTACCCTTATGTATTTACCTATTTTAAGTCCAAATTTTAATTTTTATATGATTAATAGCTTTTTTCATGCATTAAAAGATAAAAATAAAATAACCTTTTTTTTGTTATATAAATTAGAGTGTGTAAAGTTTCCTTTTTTTCCCCGTCCTCGAGTTCATTTCTCCTTGCGCGGACCGTCTTCTTCCTCAACCTCGGCATTTCCGCCATCAAACTGGTCGCTTAGCTCGGCGGCCATTACCCCGCCCTCCCCCCTAATTTTTATATGATTAATAGCTTTTTTCATGCATTAAAAGATAAAAATAAAATAACCTTTTTTTTGTTATATAAATTAGAGTGTGTAAATTTTCCTTTTTTTTTCCCGTCCTCGAGTTCATTTCTTCTTGCGCGGACCGTCTTCTTCCTCAACCTCGGCATTTCCGCCATCAAACTGGTCGCTTAGCTCGGCGGCCATTACCCCGCCCTACCTCCTCCTTATTTTTGCCCTTCCATACCCACGAAGAATTCCAAGGGAGAAAGAAGAGCGCTTCCGCTGTCGATCGTGTCATGATGTCATCCTTCTCTGCCTTGAATATCCTCCCGTCTTACATAATTGCCTGCAAAACCCGCCGCCTCTCTTCACCCTTGCACGCCCCTTCTTCCGGCCGCCTTTTGCGCTCCTCCCGCGCCGACCCTCCTTCCTCTCTACTCCATAAGCACCGGCCGCCCTATTCGAGTCGTCTCCGCCAACGTTGTCAGCAAGGAGAAGCAGATCGGATCCCCTTTACCCGTAGAGATCCGTTTTTGCTCCGACATGTAACTCTGATCCCCCGATCTCCCCATCCGATCTCAAAATTGGCGTAATTTTTTATTTTGCAGGTGATAACATCCGAGGAAGCGCTGGATTTGTACGAAGACATGTTGCTGGGACGCTCTTTTGAGGACATGTGCGCTCAAATGTACTACAGAGGCAAGATGTTTGGTTTCGTTCACCTCTACAATGGCCAGGAAGCGGTCTCCACGGGCTTCATTCGGCTCCTCACCGATCGCGACACCGTCGTTAGCACCTACCGCGATCACGTCCACGCGCTCAGTAAGGGCGTTCCAGCCCGTGCCGTAATGGCGGAGCTCTTTGGGAAAACCACTGGCTGCTGTCGTGGCCAGGGAGGCTCAATGCATATGTTCTCCCGCGAGCACAACCTCATTGGCGGCTTCGCTTTTATTGGCGAGGGCATCCCAGTAGCCACCGGTGCGGCGTTTTCCTCCAAGTACCGCCGTGAGGTTCTCAAGGAGAGTTGCGATGACGTAACCGTGGCGTTCTTTGGCGATGGTACCTGTAATAATGGTCAATTCTTCGAGTGCCTCAACATGGCAGCGTTGTGGAAGCTGCCCATCGTGTTCGTGGTGGAGAACAACTTGTGGGCGATCGGGATGTCACATTTCAGGGCCACGTCCGACCCGGAGATCTGGAAGAAAGGTCCGCCCTTTGGTATACCTGGAGTACATGTCGATGGGATGGATGTGCTCAAGGTCCGGGAGGTCGCCAAGGAGGCCATTGCTAGGGCAAGGAGGGGAGATGGACCGACACTAGTGGAATGCGATACGTATAGGTTCAGGGGACACTCGCTTGCTGATCCTGACGAGCTCCGGAATCCCGGTTAGTATGTCTGTTTCTGTCTTCTCCCCTTTGTCCTCTCTTATTTTTAATATTTTTTTTTCCTATCTATCATCCTTGTTGTTATAAAATTTATCTCAAAATTTTTGCTTGTTCGATTGGGATGATGTTCTTTGTATCCTTAAACTGAATTGAATTGGCTTTTTTAATGTAATTATACGAAATCTATTGTCTCTTTGTTCTTTCAAGCTTGCCTTTTTGCCTGCGAGCAATTTATTATATCTTGGTTTTTATCTGACTTGGTGTTAAAAATGGGGCTTTTTCTTCACCACCCTGTTGATCTTTGTTTTGTGTGGTGTAAACATTATGCTTTGCCTTTTGCTTTTCTGTTTTCAATACATGGTTGGTTGTTTTTAGTCTACTTTTTAGTGCATCAAATCTGAAGAAGTCATAGAATTCTGATGATGAAGTGATTGCCAAAGTTTTGTTTGATAATTCGTCAAGAAAAACTCAATTTACTTCTCTATCTTTTCACACATCATCATTGCCAATGTCCACATGCTCGTGTTTTTTTAGTTGGGCCTTCGAGTTATCTTTTTCCTTTTATTTATATGTAATGTCAAATGAAGTGATGCCAGTACTCTATCAAAGTTGCATTGCATAATGTTAATCTTAGTTTTCGTCTACACATGTTTTCTTTTTAATGCTTTCATAAAAATTCTACTTACTCATCTTTTTGGCACATGCTTTTTCTTATTGCATGATTCAAGTTGTTGATTCCACTATCCTATGAGTAATCTTATTTATATGTTTTCTTTTTGGCACATGCTTTTTCTTATTACATGATTCAAGTTGTTGATTCCACTATCCTATGAGTATAATCATTTCTTGTGCTTACCTTTTTAGTTTGATTATATGTCCATTTTGATAATTTTTTTTAAAATCATTCTCAACTTTAGGTTTAAATGACATTTATTGCCCAAAACTTAAATTCATATATCATTGACATTCTATTTGTAGGTTTTCAATTTTAGTCTTTTAAGTCTTCATAATATTCTCATATTGCTTGGCTAAATGTGCTTATCAATTTTAGCTAATTTACATTAAACCGTTTTCCCCATCCTCTTTCTTTTGTGCAACAATTTGAATAATACTCAACTTATTACACCTTGCTATCCTTGGAGGGTGTTTGGTTTGCTGCAAGTGCGTTCAACTTGAATAAACAGTATTACTTTATTGGTACATTGTTTAGTTTACACCAAGCTTACATCAAACTAAATGGCATTGATCTTCTATGCATAAATGATTGATAATGGTTAATTTTTTTTCAATCTTTGCTTTATTGAATCCTGTACCCTTTAACATCTAAAACTTTCTTTAAATATTTTCTTACTAACCAAATTATGTCATTTGAAAATAACATTAACCTAGGTGCGTCACTTTGAATGTTTATTTCGAAAATCCTTCCATGCCAATACCTAAACGATATTATGTTGTTGTTCATCCTTGATATGATTCTATTGTAATTAGAATTTCTTTCATCTCGTTATAAGTACTTCCATTGCTATTCATTGATATATTTTACATATCATAGTAATTTTAATATTCATTAAATGCATCTTTTTTCCTTAAAAAACTCAATTTGTACTAATGTTACTTGGTTCTTGTTCATTTCATGTTTTCATTATTTAAAGATTATTTTAGTTTGGTAGTTTTCAATTAATTATTATAGTTTCTTAACACATAAGTTACCTCCATATTATATCTTTTTTATGTAAAATCAAATTGATTGTTTAATGCTGACTTGTTTAATCAAAAAACCATGTTTTATGACATATCTAAGAAGCGATGTCAAGTTGAACTCAAGTGAGCCAATGGATTTGCTTTTGACCATAGCCAAAAGTATGTATGTATATATTTGCATTCATGCGGGCGGGATGATAGGTAATTATTCCTCCCAAGTTCAAATGGTAAATATGTAGTAGCAAAATAAACATAATGATTTCCTTACAAAACTTCAATTTGATCACGTTCTGTGGATGATATGTAGTAGAAAATAGTAAGTTGGTGATACGAACTAAGATGGTTTTTCTTAGAAATTAGGGTTAAGAAAATATTTTATTTCAAGAAACCCAAATAACACACCCAAATGCATAAAGATAAGCACCTTCAAACCAAACCCTAACTGTAGCACCAAAAACTCGAGAGGTAGGTGATCTCTCTCAAACCCTAACCCTATCACCAAGATAACAACCTAATCATACCTTAACTCTAAACATAATAAATCCTATTAATGTCCCACAAAAATAACTAATCAAAGACAAAATTGCCGCCCTTAGGTTGATGGTCGGTTGTTGTTGGCAATATCCCAATGAATTTTTTTTTATTATTCTAGATTGAATTGTTCAAGGCGCTTAAGGTTTTCATCACTGCATTGTTTAATTTAAATTAAAATCAGTGATTAAGGATGATTTAATTCAAAAAGTATATTAGAATATTCATTGCTAATATAAAATATTTGGAACATTAAGATTCACATTTGATATGTAGAACTATAATTGCAAATGCTACAATGCAGATGTGGTAGATTGAAATTCATTCCTTTCACTTGCATGACCATAGATTGAAATTCATTTTCTAAAAGCTATTTATCATTAAACTATAGAGATGGACCTGCTTTAAGCCAGGGATACTGTTGTGATTGGACTCTTCTGATGTTCATTATTTCTATTTTGGCAGATGAGAAGGCTCATTATTCTTCTAGAGATCCCATCGCTGCCCTGAAGAATTACATTCTTGAACATAGTCTTGTTCCCGAATCCAAACTGAAGGCCATTGAGAAGAACATTGAAGAGTTGGTCGAAGAAGCCGTGGAGTTTGCCGATTCTAGCCCAGCACCTCCTCGAAGCCAGCTGCTCGAGAATGTCTTCGCAGATCCGAAAGGATTTGGAATCGGCTCTGATGGCAAATACAGGTGCGAAGATCCAGGATTCACGCAGGGCACCGCGCAAGTGTAGTTTGTTTTTAACTCCATTTCTTGTTCTTGTTTAGAAAGGTACTTTCAGCAATCTGATGTTGTTTGTTCAGCAGCAAATAATCCTCATTTTACCATCCTATTCAATTCTCTCAGCTACGGACGTGTGTGTTGTTTTCTTTTTTGGCGAGTATATTGATTACACTTACACTATGCCAAGAGTTCTTTGACTCTCTTATAATTGATATTGTTGGATTTAATACTCCTCAGAAGTTTGTTGTTCGATTTTAGGTTGGCTTGGTGGTGGATGGCAATGTTTTTTTTATAGGTTCACTTGATAATGTCTTCTATAGTTATTTGTTCAAAAAATGTTGAATTTTTTTATAAGGGAAATTGGCATGCATACCACACAATTCTCTTGTAAATGCATATCTAAAAATTTCATTATTAAATAGCGCACATAATCTCTTTTATTTATAATTATAACACTATTAATGAATTTTGAAAGGTTGAAAATGGCGTTGTGCCTAGAAATTATGCGAGCATTGATCTCAAGGAAATCTAACAGTCTAGAAGATAAAAAGTACTGACAAAGGGTGGACCTATCAGTAGTGAGCCTGGAGGACCCAACTACCCGACCAGATGAAGCAAATGTCGAACCAACTGCTACAAGGATGAGTGTGCAGCATGGGTCAAGTGGCCCACCCGGTCACAAAGGGATGACTACCTTCATGGATAAATAAATCCAAATTCTGATGACTTCAAAGATGATTCCATGGAAATCTAACCAAGTCCTTTCTACCACTCAAAATTTTTTTACATATTTTTCAATATCCCTCTTAATCCCTATCATTTCCTTGATATATCACTTAATGTTATTTCATAAACCTTTGTTGTTGATTATTTTTTGCCGATTAAGGTACAATGATTCACTCTTTGCCATGTGAACTTGTATGGCTTTTAAGTATAAGGTAGCCCCTAACTAAATGATGATTTTTTTTTAAGAAATCCGAAGGAAGGATTATAAATACAAGCAACATTTTTCTTAAATTAAGAATTTTCTTTGGTATTCTCCAATATATAATTAACCAAGGAGAATATGTTCCCTTGGGAGTTTTATGAAACTAATACTAAATTATAATTATAATTATATAGATATAGGTGGAAATATTTATAAGTCCACTTTGAGAGTGGAATGGAATGAGAGTCTGAGTTCCCTTAGACTTATGTATCCAACTTATTTCAAGAAACCACTATATATATTCGCTCACCTTCCTTTATATTATATTCATATTTTTTATCTATTTTTCAAACTCTATCACTCTTTTT